TCATTTCCTCTTTTGGACCTTAAATGAGCTTTCACTAAATCCAACCAACCAATGTTATTTGCATAGAATGAGGTAACCATTAAAATGTTGAACAGCAAAGTCAAGCTTTTAACATGACTTACATGGCTCTCAATGTGTTCACGCTGCAGAGCTTTAATCCTGCTCAAACTACAACGGAGACATGATGGAATATGAGAAACGTGCTACATTCTATATCTTTTGTTTAGAAAGAGAGGGATAGGTATCTTGTGATGGCAGAGGTAAGCAAGAGAGAGAGACTTTCTGCTTGAGGAGTTATTTTAGGGTTGGGATGGGGCCCTGAGCGGCACAGCAGGCCAAAGAAAGCTGGAAGGAAATCAAAAAGAAACTCCTCTCTACCGCATTTCACTCTGTCAATTACCAACTGCTTAAGAGACTGAAAACAACTTTATTCCTCCACGTGAATGATGCACCTTTCATCTGCACTCCCTAAGACAGCAACGGGTTTAAATCAAGGGCCATGTGTGTGCTTTTTTTTTTTGATGGGGTCGTGCTCTCAGTATTGGCTATTCTTGCAGCATGCTGCCATATGTAGCACATGCTTTCGCCAAAACATCATGATGTATAGTGTGGTGAAATAGATTCCACTGCAGAATCATAAGTCTGCTCTTTAGGGAGCACTCTGAGCTCAGGTAAAATGTAAAGCCAGTTGCTGTCTGTGCTGCAGGGAGTCTTTTCCCAGACTTTTCCCAACTTCAATATTGTCCCAGTCATTTTCTCTATGTGGTAAACTATGCCATTGATTATGGCTGAACACTGAATCGAAATATTATAGAAATCACAATATGGCAAAAAGTGCAATATCCAAATCGACCTGCAATATTTTGATAAAGGTCAAATGTGTCACAACATATTATAAATGAAGCATTGTGTTGGTACGGAGATGTCCCCACCTACAAATCATATTCTCCAGACAGAAAAACGTGCTTGTTTGGTACAGACCCCAGCAAAAATCACATTATCATCAATTATATTTTTTTTCAGTGAAAATTAAATGCAACGTTTACCATTCCCACTAAAATCAAGACTCGTCGCAATATCAGTCAATATAATCACAATGTAATTTCTTTTTTTGACATAGTTCAGCCTAACCATTACTGTAATCAAACTACTAAAAGAGCTGCAGGAAGCCAAGGCAACACAACATTAACTGTGATGCATAGTGACCCTGCCAGAGGTATGACGATACCTAGCGCTCCTTTTTAGCCACGCTAGCAGGAATCTTTGTTCACCACTTTGGTCAAGAATTAAATACCACAACAACTATTGAATAAATTGTTATGAAATGTTGTACAGACAACCCAGGCAAGACATTTCAGCTAGGACCATCATGAGGTTGACATTTTTTACTTTTAGTGACATAAGTTTTGGAGGGATTTCAATGAAATTTGGTACAGACCTCCATGTCTTCCTCAGGATGAAGTGTAATTTGGTGATTTTGGTGATCCCTTAACTTTTCCTCTATTGCCACCATCTGGTCAAAATTTCAATTTGCCACATGATTTATGAGCAAATACATAACTAATGACATCCCCCTCAGCCCCAGCTGTACTTTGTGTTCAGTGCTAAAAAGCAAACATTGCCATGCTAACACGCTAAACTAAGATGTTGAACATGGTGTAAACATTATACCTGCTCGTCATCAGCATGTTAACGTTGTCATTGTGAATATGTTAGCATGCTTATGTTAGCATTTACCTCATAGGACTGCTCTATCCTCAGTAAGTACAGCCTCACAGAGAAGCTAGCATGGCTGTAGCTCCTAATCTTGTTGTAAAACTAGTAGGTATAGCTACACTACTCCCACCTTACCAAAGAGCTCATTTAGCTCAGACTAACAGTGTGTGTCCTGCCTGGTAAAGCCTATCCAAGACCCCATTTACAGCCAGGTTTGAGTGAAAGCCACATTCAAGAGTGCTAAGAGTGAAGCTTCTGAGATACAAAGGAAAAGAGATAAACTTTAAATCTCCAGTAACACTGGCTTTCTAAACTTCCGACTATAATGATTTTTTTTTTCCAAGAAATGTTGTAAACCAAAACTTCAAAACGGTAATTACACTGAGACACAATGTCTAATTGAGGGTTACTGTATTTATCATAAAACATCCCAGAAATTCAAACCTTGATCCTAATTCAACAGCTAAGTAACATACTATTTTGTAAACAGATCTCTGTGGCCATTCCCAATACAAACTAGAGTGATGGTACAAATTTTACTGAATTAACATGCTGTTTTCTCTTTTTTAGCAATTACTGTTTGTGCAGGTGTACAACGTTCCCATGGCTTTCTTTTGCTGGCATATTTTATGAATGATGTGTTGTTAATGTATTGGTGAAGTATTGTTTTAAATTGGTGTAAGATTCCATGAAAAACATTACAAAATTTGATCTGGACATTTGACAGTGGCCATCTGCAGAGTTCAGCAGGAAGATTTAATCAGTTTTTGTGTCAAGACAGTGTTGACAGTTAAAGTAATGCAGCTGACAGGCAGTCTTGTATTCTAACTGAGGCAGTGGGGCTGCTGCTGGGTGAGGCTGCAATATGGCCTCCCTCTGCTCTTCATCTAAGCAACAATACTTTTGATGAACAGATGTGACTCTCAACACAGCAGGGAATAAGTATGAGAGCTGACCCAGAAACAAGATGCTCCATTCATCTCGATGAGAGCTTCGATCCTGTTTGTAAGTAAACAAATGGAAATGCAGCCAAGCTCACACCTGGCCTCATTTTACCAGCCAACCACAACAAACACACACACCTTTGGTTTTTGGCCACCATTCATTAAAAGTGCATTGGTTAGGTAAAACCTCAGTCATAAAAAACCTATGAAGTTTTACCTCTAATCACAGCAGGTCACTTGGCTAGAATGGAAATAAACATGACCCAACAGTGGAAATACAATGTTCTTAATGGATCAAAGCTTTGTGTCTCACAACTCTGGCTATTTTCTGCACTGGAATTTGCTTTAATACACAAACAGGTCTGTTAACCATCCGTCCCGAAGCTGAAAACAGAGACAGTCAGCACCAAGCTTGCCAGGACACGGGCAGGACTGAGTCTTCAGAGAGCCTTCAACCAGCAGACCCAAGGAGACCCAGACGTAGACCTTTTTATAAACACATTTCTAAAGAGATGTAGGCGCACTCCCGGGACAACAAGTGATCCAATTCCTGTCATATATTTGCTCTGACCTCAACCCAATTGAACAAGGAGGTATTGTTAGGAAGCCATAACTCTAGACACCCAATCCAGCCTCTCGGGTGAAGCCTGCAGCTGACACTTTTAATATTAGACATTACTTCAATCCCTTCAGCGAGAATTTCCTAGACGCAGCTCAGCCACGATATGTTTTTACTTATGCTCGCAGCCGACAGGTTTGTTCCTTTTCTTTCCCCCACTGTGAACATGTTTTCTCATGCTGCCATCTCCTAATAAAGCAAGCAGGGTCTCAGGCAGGGACAGAATAAAGATAGTCTGAGCCTGTTTTCCTCCACGGAGGTCTTCTACGTGGGGGCTTCCAGTCCCAGCTCAAGTCTGGGGCCTTTGTGTTGGCACCTTGCCTGCCATGGGACTTCACTCAGCTGATGATAGCATAGCCTCCAGTCAGACCTGGGTGAGGGCCAAGCTGTAAGAGGGTCCAGATGGTTGGACAGACCCTTGGCCTGCTCAGATTCACTGCCTTGTTTAACGTAGGCATGTTAGACTGGACCTGTTACTTTCTGGCAGATTATAAGTATTTACTCTTTTAATTTGGGTAACTGCAGCTCCATGTAAGATGTAATTTACACCTTGGTAACTGTGCCTTTAGCTGGGACTTGTGAAAAAATGGAAGGAGGCTTTGCACTGGGCAGGAGGGAAGGAGATCTAATTAGGAGGCTGCTGGGACCAGTCAGCTTGTTGTGTAATCGACTGGCTGAAATGTGTGTGAACTGTGTGTGTGTGTGTGTGTGTGTGTGTGTGTGTGTGTGTGTGTGTGTGTGTGGAAGATAATTAGCGGAGGACAAACACAGAAAACAGTAAACAAGTATAGCTGCTAGAAACATAGCTATCTGTCTAGATAGATAGATAGATAGATAGATAGACAGAGAGCTTGAGTCCCAATGTTAGTGAAGAAATGTTGCTTGCCATGTGAGTTTTACTTCACTTGTAAAATTTAAAGATATCTTTTTCTAAAAAAAAATCCCCAATTCCAACCTGTTATTTCAGTCTGTGGCAAACAATGGTGTTCATAAATGTGAAATTGACAAATGACATGCAATGAGTAAAACTGGTGGAGCCACTTCTATTTTAAGCTTGGCCTCTTTATCAAGAACTGGTCTAAAAAAAAAAATATGTGACACAAGTTAAACACAGATGTGTCAGCGTTATGATGAAAAGTAACAATTTCAACCCGTCTCTGTCAATATTGCGCTTCGAGAAGTGGCCAATGATTCATTCACAGCCACTCCACTTTTAATTATCTGGCTGTCAGGATATCCGATACTGCTGTGGTCAAATAAAAGAAGCAGAAGTTCCACCTATAATTAAGGGCTTGTGTCGAAAAGAGAGCCAAGTGCTAAGTGCTTGTAATTTCCATGCGAGGATCCTACATGAAGAGAAAAGGCAAACACCACATGATGAACATGACCATGGGGGCAATAACACCCTAGGAAAACTTTCGTAGAGCAATTCCACTTGACAGGACAGTCATTAGTAGCCTTTTTACTGCATTATTTTTCAGTCTGTGTGCATAAGATTGTAAAGCCTCTCTGTCTGCTAAGTTTCCTAGCTCCAAAAGCTATGCTATACTACAAATAAGGCTTGTCGCTGTGCTTTTGTGCCGTTTCAAGACTTCACAAACTTGTATGACCTTTGTTGCAAAGCAAGAAAATTGTTATCTTCAGTAACTGAATAAAAGAGTGAAAGTGCAAGTTACATTTATTTAAAATTTACGTCGGACAATTAAGTGTTTTTTCCTTACGTTTTATGCAGCGATTGGTTCCTGGTGCCAAAGCCCAGCCAGAGCAGCACTGCTGACCTCCACAGACATTCGGCCTGAACAAAGGAAGACATACACAGAAACCATAGTGAAGTAAGACACTGACAGAAATGTTTCAAGCATACAGTACATTAATATATAGAGCTATAAAAGTGAGTGTGGAATGCCTCAGACCCTTTCATGACAAACAGATCTGACTGCAAAGGCTGTTATTTATAGTTTCAAGATCATCCTGATGTGGCTGGCTCATTGATATGATCACCTATGAGATTACACTATAATTGCATTTCATTTGATAAAAAATTTCAGGGCAAGTCACGAAACTCTATCTGAGTGTGGACCCACAAGTCCCTCAATCTGTTATGCGAGAGTCCAGAGTGAAAACAAATACAGAGTTATCTGAGCCTTGAAGGGATTAGACACACGAGACATGAAAAGCACCCTGCATCTCCTATAAATCACTGAGCAAATGAGAGATGACAAGTTTTAAACAGTTATAACTGGATTCTTTGCACTCTTTAATCCTCACTTGCAGCGCAGGCCAATTTTTGCTGCAAGATAGATGAAAAGGCACCAGACCGCAAGAGCAACTTCAGGGCAACAGTCAACGCGCTGGCAAGGGTCTGTGCCCCGTCATCTTTTCACAAGATATTACAGTAAGTGGATGTCTGACTCATAGTGATTTGAGGAGATAACGGGGATTGACTCACTGACCTCAGTCGGAGTGCACTCATTAGATACTGCGAGAGCGTTACTGAGGCGTCACAGGGATATCATGCAGTTGTTTGGGCCCTCTGGCAGGCTTCGCTTTGTCATAAATCAAACACATCAGGCCAGGCCCATGCCAAAGACATCAGTCATCACATTTAAATTCCATCATGGGATATATGTATGTTTGTAATGGAGAACTTACAACATAATTAGGACCATGCCCCAGGTTAAAATATAGCAACGCCGTGTTCACACCTTGTTATATTTTTATTTAAACCCCCAACATGAGGAGGTGGAGTATTATTTCACAACTGAGCTATCTGGATCAGTCAAATGTCTGACAGGTGCACTGAAAACAGAAGGGGAGTCACACTGAGTCAACTTGAATGTAAAGGAGGGTTAAGTGAACCCAGCACCGCCAGTGCCGCGGGGTGTAGTAAATGAGTAAGCTGACTGGGAACTCCAAGAGGAAATGTGTCACGAAAAGCACTTTCTCTAACAAGCAGCAGATGATTCATCTGACGCTAATGAATCAAAGTGTTAAAATAACCGAGCAGACTACTATAAGGTAATGTTCCCGCAGATTTATGTAATGCTACCTTTATGCTTCTTTAAAACTCAAAGAGCCCTATTCATTTACCACTGAAATGTGTTTTGCTGGCAACGTCAAGCAAGGCATTTGCCCTGTGCTGCAATAAAGCATGTTGGATCTAATACTACAGGCAGCTATTTTCTTTATGCGCTACTTTAAATAGACAGCACCTCAATTCAACCATGCATCAGTGCAGCTGTCTGGGTGACGGATACGTTCAGAAATGTTGTTTTTAGTTTGTGCCTGTTGGTGCTACACGGTACAACACAGTTGTTCCATGGACAGTCAGTAAAATGTAGGTATAAGTAGTGGACAAGATCCCTGTCCAGCCTTTCTCTTGGGTGTTAAGTGGTGAGTTTTAGTTTTCAAAGTCCTGCACCACAAAGACGTCTTCAAGGACAAAAGTATCAGTAGCAAGCAGGTGGGTGAGGGAGCATGAACATATAGACCACTAGTCACTTTCCTCTTCATTTTTATCATGTTTTAGGCTTAACTCAGGTGAGTGCACATTAGACTACATGTATGCCTACAGATGGCAAACCATTTGGCTGAATCCTCCTATTGCTTGTAAAGCGTCCTCCATAAATTGGCCATATAAACATTCAATTTCCTAAAGGCAAGAGGCTCTGTTATGACACACAAAAGAGATATTTCATTTATATTTCACTGTCTGCAACCCAAGGTGAGCCATTCAAATTCCCCTCTGATTATTATGTAAACACTCTCCCCACCAGTGTGTATCATGCTTTGTCCCTATGGAACAAACAGGACTGGATGGACGAGGGTTCATTTAACAAAAAGAAAAGAGCTCTAATAAGGAAACAACCGACGGTCCTGTTTGGAGTTTAACAGAGACAAAAAAAAAATTGGGATTTGCAGCATTGAGAGAGGGCCATCGCAGAAACAGGTGTTTCTGATCACTAAGCAAATTTGCAAATGTTCACCAGCCGATGCTCCAGTTGAGCCACTACAATACATGGCCACAGGCAACAGCACAAAACTGGGGTGCACACATTGAAGTAGTCTGCAGCTACTCTCCTACTACGATTTAAATACACTGTAATGTGTGGTAATGGGAGGAAATGGTGATAATGCAGTGTTGCATGGGTCTCAAAACAGTTCAAATTCAGTTCACCCATTCATATACTCATTTGCTTCTCATTACAAGCATCCACTATCACCCCAGTTATCAGCACAGTGTTTAACCTCAGCTATTATTCCATGTCCTGCCATAACCTTGATGACAAAATACATACATTACACTAATTCATGTAGTTGTAGTGCAGCTCTTGTATGTGTACTGGTGTGTACTGTACAGCTTCATGCACTATATCCAACCAGCTTTGTATTGATATAGAGCAACACTTTGTAGCCATTTTCTTTGGGTAGTTAAGTTACATCATCACATGGTTTTCCTTACAGGAATAACGATTCTGCTTAAGTGGGCCACCACTACTTTACAGTAAACCACATGGACTGATGTACAGTAAAATAGGTCACACAAATTCCTACAGTTCACACAGTGAACTGGAATGGCTCCAGCAGCTTGATATAACAAAGTAAAACATTTTTTTTATTGGACTGTAGAGCACTTGGCTGTCACTCTTACCCAACAAGTCTCCTTGTGTTGGCAGACTTGCTGCTCTGCCTGCGGTTAACTCTGGCTCTGTGCTGCAGGCTGACTGGTTGTCTGGCGGTGCGCTGCGCACCATCCCGCGGCGCAGAGGCATGGTCCTCCCGGGAGACGCCTGCAGCATGAGCCGGTGAAGCTCTGGATGATGTGCCTCTGGGCACGCGGACCAGAGTCCTATACTGGCTGATCCGAGGAGAAGTTTCACCGGATGGTTTGGAGGATGCACGGTCCTCTGGTCCCCTTGGCAAGTGACCTTGACTCCTCACCCGTGACTGCTGCTGGTCCCAGACCGCCCGGTCTGCCCCTGCACACTCTTTCCTCCCACCTGTTGTGTCCTTGTGACTGTTGCCAACTCGCATGAGTGCAACAGTCAAAAGCATTAAAACAGCAAATCCTGCACGGTCCATTTTGAGCATGCAAAGTTTTGAAACTACCGCGTAAAAGGGCAGGTCGAGTTACAGTTAATCTAGAGCCACTGAAATATGAGCAAATAAAAAAAATCCGCGATTAGTCTACAAGAGTTCAGCAAGTCATCCTCTCCCAAGAATGAAAGAAGCCTGGATACCTCCTCATAATGCCCAGGTAAGAATTAAGCGGTATGTCTTCAGGATATCAAATCAGCTCCTAACCACAGTCCAAAAGTGAGAAACTCTACAAAACTTTTCTTCTTACTGCGCTGAAAAGAAACGTTATTATAAGCAAATATTATTCCATCTGTTTTAGTTTATGTTAAACAAGAAAAGAGGCGCAAAGACAGCAGCGCTTCGGCTCCAGGACTGCTGAGGCTCTACTCCTACTCCAAGTGAGAGAGTTTGAATCGTGCTCCCATGAATATCACCACCTCCTTGGATCTGAAGTCACCGGGAATTTTTGTAGGGATTGCATGCGCTTTGCAAGAAGAAACTCCCCCTTGTCGGCTGTATTGTTGCTTCCACTCACTGCACCGCTCGGTCCATGTGCCCACACGCACTTTCTCTGCCAAGTTACATCATCTTACTGTGTGTCTTTTTCTGATTCCTTTGAACGGGAGTATTGAAGTTATCATGACTGGAGCCGCATCAATCATTACATTCAGTTTGAATTAAAGTTGACAGGCTACTACAGTATCATAAAAATTAAGAAAACGTTTCCAGATGTTTTTTTCTTAAAGACTCTGCAGCACTATTAGTGGATTATTTCAGTTAATACTGTCTCTTTTATTAAGATTTGAATTCTTTGAGTTTAGGCTATTTTATCTTATCACAGTGTCACAGGACAGTGTGAAGCACTTTGAATTTAATTTACAATGCTGCAGTTCAACTTGTGCAGGTTACATCATATAAAACGAGAATCATAGCAGTCTGTAGACTCACAGACTCACTTTCATCTGGCAGTAAAAGGTATGGGAAGCTCACAGTTCAAACTCAAACTGAAACCTTGGAAAACTGGTCAGGTTATGTAACAAATCTCATTCATCTCCCCCTCTCATCCATGCTGCATCATCACTTTCCCTCCCACTGTCTGGAAACAACACATTACTCTTTTCCCAGAAGATCTTAAACAACCCAAAGAGAGGTAGCTCCCTGCTCTCATTCAACCCACAAAGATGCACGCCTGTGAGTGGTCCCTGAGCATCATTACCACTCACAGGACTGCCATCCAAAACACACAGCAGCCAAGAGGAAGGCTAGTAGTCTGCCCATTCTCCTTCTCACCATAGCTGAGATACACAAACCTCTGACAAGTGAAGTTTGACCAGGAAAACTAAAAAAAAACAAAAAAAAAAAAAAACTGTTACTGTATGAACACTTGAAGAGACAGAGTCCTTCCACCAGACTCTTTCTGTTGGCTCTGCAGGCAAACATAAGTGGAGACTTGGACTGAGCACCACAGCTGATTACAGCTCATCTTCCAACCCATGAGAAATCTAATTAGAGAAGGAGGCTGCATTTGTCTTCTGACTGTCCAGCGGTCTCACCCCACCCCCAGGCATGCCGTCTGCCGGGTGTCAATGGCGCCTCTGAAACCGATCATGGCCGGCTGACCCCAGCGTCCTTGAGGGTGACCAGGGCGTGCACAGACAGATCCACGAGGTGCTATCTGCTCAGTGACCTGTGGCTGCAGCTCAAGTGTCGCTGTACTTTAGCCTCAGTCAGTGTCTCTGTATCATGTTATATGTGCTGTACATTAACGTGAATAATCTTGCATTAATATTTTTGCACAATTTTGTCAGTGCTGTCAAATTTGTGTTTGTACAAACGGCAAAAGCTGGACAATTTATATGTCTCCATTGCTGCGACTGTCTACACTCAGTTGTCAGTTTATTAGAGCACACCCATCTAAAACTAATGCAGTCTAGGTTATAAAAGTTCAGTCATTGTTGAAACTCTTAGAGAGGTGTTGAATCATCTGCGTGGTTATTTTGGAGGATGCAGTTTGTGGTGCTGTTGAGCTGTATTGCATTATACTGACAAGTGTTTTCTATTATTTTGTCATTTATATCAATAAGGGTAGATGAAATAATAGAAACACCTCTCAGTATAATGCAATACAGGACCACAAATTGAATCAACACTTCTCTAGAACAGAACAAAAACTTGAACATTGCAGCCCTCATGGGGGCAGGCCTGCGGTATAAGACTGAACTGGTTTGAGCTACTGTATGTGTATGAACTGGCAACTGAGTGTATTTCAGCCACTCGAACGCAGTATGTGGTTAGTGTTCAGCTGTTACAGCCGACTTAATAAGTGGGTGTTTTTCAAATCAAATTTTAATTTTCCGTTGTTTCTTAATTAGTTGACCTACACAGCAAGCTTTCACATACCCTGTGGCAGCTGCAGAAGTACCCTCTGAGGCACAAGTACCCCTGGTTGGGAATCATTGAAGATCTGTGGAGCAGCCATCCATGTTATGAAATAGGACTTAATGTGGCCCAATTTGATACAATTTGCAGCATCTGGAGGAACTCTAGTATAAATACCAGGAGGATGTCTCTGGCTATGACCAAAGCTTTAACACAAAGAGTCCTTTGAAAACTCTGGCATGACAACCAAGCCACTCCTATCATCTTTCAAATGCGGAGCAGAAATATAACTGCATTACTCTGCACAGTTTCTTACAAAGCACAGGGTCGTAGCAGCAATAACAACATCCAAGTCTTGGAGTTACACCGACGCAAACAGCTTCTGTGTGTGCGTGTGTGTGTGCGTGTGTGTGTGTGTGTGCGTGCATGTGTGTGTGATGAAGAAAGCTCAAGGTGGATTTGATTTGTCTCCAGACTACTTAGTCCCTTCAATTGCTCCGCTTCCGAGATGGTTTTCAGTGTATAACCGTGAGGCAAAACTTTTATAGCTACTGAACACACGTTTGATGCCTCCTAATGAATCCTAGCATGGGAACCAACACTGTGTTTACCTGTCAGCATGAATGTACCAAGAGAGACACATTTGCATCCATTTAGTTGAGAGTGACTGCCTCGTCACCGCTGAGCGAGTGAAGGGTCAGGGTTCAAGTGTACCCATTGGAAAGCCAAACAGTATCATTGCACCCAGAATGTAGGGCTCTCATTATAACCAAGTATCAACAGCGAATTCTTAGCCTCGCCTCCAGAATTTTAAGTGATCCATGTGAATCAGTCTCTGTGATGACTTTCAATGGAGAGCACCAACAAGGAACGTCAATCTCTTCGTTAGCTACCTTTTGCCGTCTGTATCAAAGCCCCCAGCTCTCCTTCCTCTTTGCCCAGCAGCTAACATAATACTGACATTGTTCAGACTGGGCAGCCGTGAGGACCTGGGGGAAAACGTGGAAAAAGGAGGTTCGTTTGGCAGAGAACCGCTTCATAAAAGCTGAAATTATGTGCTTCATTAATGTAGTTTTTTTTCATTGAACATGACAGCTTTTCCTTGGAAGGAATATTATAGAAGACCTCCATCGTGCTTCCTAGCAGACTGAGCACTGTACATAAAACAGGCATTCACGCAACAAGAGGAAACAGTTGAAGATAGAGCAGGATAAATGTAATGTGCTTAGGCCAAGGACTACAGGGCCTTTCCCAGCTTGTATGAATGAAGTGCTGTCAGCTGGGTAATAGAAGTAGGTCACATGGGCGTTATTTAAGAGAGGCACTTCCACTTCGCCTTTCATGATATTCATTCTTGGTTTTTTTTGTTGTTTTTTTTTTTTTTTTTTTTTATATGGGTGCTGGCTTGAAAAAAAAAACTGAGAATTGTATGTGCATGTGTTTCAAAGCCATACTGTACATGCAACATACTGTCTTGCATGGCATTGTTATTCATTGCTGCAGACAAAGAGAAAATCTATCAACACCATCAACACTTTTAAAATAGTGGAGGGATCCAGAAACATGATAAAGTTAGACAGACACGACTGGCTATGTTTCTGACGCATGTCATAGCACTGGCAATACGTCCACCCTGCATTACTTCATGGGTGAATGATCGGCTCATTCATTTGTGGGTGTGAGTTGTTAAGTTAACAAAGGCTCTAAGCTGCCTGGGATGTCATCGGCAAGAAAACTGCAAAGATTAAATTAAGTACTTCCCTTTTACAAATTGCCCCTTTTGCGACCTCTGAAAAGTTTCACTAGTGAACAAGCGGTTTTGGCTTCGGTTGAGAAATCACATTGACAACTCGTATGTTACAGCACAGGTTGTGATATAGATGGACTCCTAGCTGTACAATAACCAACCGTCAAGCCTGGTGTCAGAGGTCATCGTGGAGAAACAAAAAGGACCAAATCCATCCTCGTACATTTAAGGTTTTGTTGATTTACTGTATGAGTCAGCGATATTATCAGCATGGCTCCATGAGCTTTAAGACCTGAAGAGGTTTAACGGATAGTTTTCTGCCTGACTTGATGGCGGCTAAATGTTTTATGGGCAAACCTCAGATGCTTCCTTGTCGTGCTCTTGATGTTCACGGTTAGCCAGCAGGGGCTTGTAGAACAGATTTGTGTGAGTTCTGCTGCTGTAATAAACTGTGTAGTGGACAGGGGTAAAGGTAACCATTTAATTTATCCACTTGGACGTGAACGCCTATGGAGCTGGAGCCCTGAATAGCTCTATTCCTTGAATATTTGAATACACTCTGGTGTCTGAGATAGGAATTCAAAAAAACATATAGACAGGAAGGCAGAAGTTGCCCTCCTGCTTCCATATAGGGGCTAAATATGTGAGAAGTAAAACATTTCTCTCACTGGCTAACTGTCAGTTAGCTGACAGAACCATCTCTGCTATATGAAATATGACCCAGGAAGCTGCATTACATTATAACCCAGATATCTGATCACGACTGTCCCCTTTTCTCGCCCATTTAACCAAAACTGTAAGATTCCTGTGGATTTAATGTAATTTACAG